TGGGAGCAGGTGTGCGCCCAACTTGAAAGCCCCGAGCGCGCGCTGGGGGAGCGTCGGCGCGGACCTGGGCAGGTCCCCTTGGCCTTGGGGCGCGGTGCGCGCGCGCGCGCTCGTGCCTTTTTGTTGGTTTGTCCTTTCTTGTTCCTGGGGGGGGAAGGGGGGAAATAAAACAGACCTGACGATCTTACATGAGCTGTAGGAAGCGGCCTCCCAGAATTGGCCTCCCAGCCTGCAGTTACCCTGATGGGTGGCTTTCCGTTTAGAAGGGGAGAGGAGATTTGCCTTCATCTAGCACCAAGTCCTACATGTCCTGCATGGTCTGATCCCAGCCTAGCTAACTGGCCCTATGTTAGCAAGCTGTATACTCTCAACAATAAAGATAAATTTAATTAATTTTTAAAAAGGAATGGTTTTTACACTTTAAAATGGTTGGGGGGGATCAAAAGAATACTTCATGACATGAAAACTATAAGAAAATCTAATTTCAGTGTCCGTAAATAAAGTTTTATTAGAACACCATCTGTTTCTTTATTGTGTTTACTTTTGCATTATAACAGCAGAATCGAGTAGTTGCAACAGACACTGTTAGGACTTGCAGCGCATAAAATATTTACTTATCTGGACCTTTGCAGAAAAGTTAGATGACCTGATTAAATCACCAAATGTATTCTTGCCTTATAAGAGTTCTTTGCACTCTATGTCCCCTCAGCGCGGATCACATTGTCCCCTAATCCTCTCCTGTCACTCATTGTCAGCTCAAAGGTCATCTCAGAGAGGCTTCATCTCCCCGGCCATCTTAAACTAATAGTACTCCCAACATAGACTGGCCAAAGAATATATTTAGGATAATTAGCCAAAAGCACATCTTTCTCCAAGTGAACGCAGCTCTGTGCCAGGGAACTGGGCTTATAGGGCAGAGTAGACTCAGAACACATGGCACAATCTATGTCCCTTAAAGGAAACCACTTGAGAAGTAGAGAGAATGGCAGCCAGTGTTGGCAAACTTTTTTCAGACTGTAGGCCATAGGGTTTTATAGCTCACACAGAGCTGAATTAGCATTTTCAAAATCCCTCTGCTGATGAGAAGCTCAAGTGAGTTCTGCAGGTTTTCAGTCTTTTGGACTATGAAGTTTATGGATTCCAATTCTCTGGTAAAATTCTCTTTCATCTGTTTTTTCCATTTTTTATTTTTTTTTGCTTTGTTTTTCTTGAACATACTAAAATTCATTTAAAGCCCTTGTTTAATTCTAGGATTTCATCTTTACCTTCAAAAGACTGTAAATACATGTTGGGATTAGGACTTCGACACATGAATTTGGGGGGCACAAGTCCACAGTACTGCCCCATCAAAGCCCTTCCACCTAGAGGGGCTACCTAGAGTAGGTTGTGTCATTTGCAACAAAGAACCCTGAACTGATATTGACAATAATTCCAAAATCAGGAGATGCAACCAAAAAATGGAGCTTTCTGGGAAAATGGGATATCTGGCTATACTGGGGGACAGTTGGCTGAATGTGAGAGGCAGCTGTCCCTTTCAGATGGGACACGGGCTCCAGTTCATCAGGATCCCCACCCAGCCCCCTTCATTCATCACTTAGATTTCTTGCCTGGCCCCTGTACGCAATTGCATATGGTGCCCCTGGCATAGCTTAAGGGGGTTTGAACCTCAGATCAGTATGAACCTCACCAATTTCCAGCTTGGAGAACTGGAGCTAACTGATGAGAATTGTGTTGTTGTTTTTGTTGTTATTGCTTTGTTGCTGTATTTCATCCCAGAAACTGCATACCACCAATCAAAACTTTATTCCCGTATCCAGTTAAATACCTTCTTCCCTGCCCCTGACCTGACCGACCCACAGCTGGCGCGGGAATCTGCAGTGGAGGCCGAGGCAGGCATATCCTTTCCTGCCTCCTCTCTAGCTCACCTTGTGAAGTAGGAGCAGAGAAATGAATGGGAAAGGACCCCTCACCTGAGAACAGGCGAGCTCAGGTCTAGTTCTCTCTTGAGTCTCAGGTGCCCTCCCCCCACCCCGAGTTCTTTGACAGATCTTTGGAGACCTCCATGGGAACTCAGTGCACATTCTGGGGGACCTCTTGCACACCCCTTTCCATTCATACTCCACATTCTCTTTCTGAGGTCCCCTCGCCTGGCAGGCTGCCCTCCTGGGTGAGTCTCTTCAGGATGACTCGAGCCTAAGAGTGTAGGCTCTGGCCCATGGGAAACAGAGCACACCCTTGCCCTGCCCCCTCCCCTCACCGGCCATCACAGGCAGCCCCAGGCACCCTTGGAGCAGCAGTGAGATGCCAGAAACACCCCCCCTTGGTGTTCCCAGTCTCAGAGTGACTCTGAACCTTCCTCTCTTGCCTTGGGGGTTGGAATGGAAGAAGAGACCTGCCCCCCTATAAAGGCCTTTCAGAGAAATCTCCTCTGGATAAAATCTTGACCTTGTCTCATAGGGGCTGGAGGCTGATGGTCATTGATGGCCAAAGGGCCAGTCTGGCCGCCTCTTAACAGGAGGAGGGAGTATTGTTACCCACTGCCCTCACCTTTGAAGCTTTTGCTCAAGTTCTGGGTCAACAGGAAAAGTCTCATTCCACATCCTGTTACATTAGCCGGCAGCTGGCCTCAGTTTTTCTAAGTTACCTGGTGAATAGGGGACCCACATTGGAAAATGATAGGTTAGGGGGCAGAGGGGTGGCCAGTGCGCCTGGCCCTGAACTCAGCTGACATCGACTTCTTGAAGGGCTCAATGTCCTGCCTTCCCAGGCATTTCTTTTTTTTTTTTTCTTTCCTCTTTTCTACTTACTCTTAGAGGGGAAACAAAAAAAATCTCTGAATACTAGTCCTCAGGATCCCACCAAACCTTCCATAGCTTCGAGAGGATTATTATTGTTCAGTTCTAACTCATTGATTCCCAAAACATAAATGGCTTTTAAAAAATACCTTTGATTGCCCTGGCCAGTGTGGCTCAGTGGTTAGTGGCACCCCGGAGGGTCACAGGTTTGATTCCTGGTCAAGGGCACGTACCTGGGTTGCAGGTTTGATCCCAGGGCCCAACAGGGGCGCATGCGGGAGGCAACCAATAGATGCCTCTCTCCCCCCCCCC